AAAAAAAATGCGTCGGAGTGTTGGAAACAAGCAACCAGAATGATGGCAGCACAGACGAGCCACACTTCACCGTAAGCAATATTGTAACAGGATTTTCCACTACGCCAATTTTTAAAGATTTTCTTTTTTCAGTAAATTCATTATAGTTACTAGTCGGCAAAGAGATAGTAGGAAATTAACTAACAGACGACCGCAAAACTGCAAGCCAGCTGAGGCGTCTGAAGTGAAGTCTGCTCGGCAGTCGTTACATGAGGCCCCGTGTGAGTCGGTACGTGATTGGCTGTTACAGAGTCTCGAAACAGCGAGCACTTCCGAAAGTGCACCTAGCCTTGGGCTAGTCTCTACAGGCGTTCACAAGTGCGCTTCCTGTTGAGCCAGTCACTACAAACCGACAATTTAGTCTAAGGAAAGGCGCCTTTCCTTGAAATTACATTTTTTGAGATGCCTGCCTTTCAGTTTATACGAAAGTATAGTCTGTTCGGTTACATGTGCAGTCATCAGCGTATGTAATGCAAGCATGTTAACGTGGAGGGCTTTCAGGTATAACTTGATGGTGAGCTTACCAAGATGCCATAAAAAGTAGCTCATAAGCAAATTATAGGGGATAATTTGCTCCAACGGTTTCCTAGGTCGCACTACGATCACTGCTAACAATGACTCGCCAAATTCCTTTTTAATGCAAATACATTCGTGTGTTGCCCTCAGAGAAGGATCTTACCCTTAGTAAACGTTTTCTTCTATTGTGATTGCGAAGTAGCTTACGGCCTTTTAGAAAGAACAGTAATTTCTCTACTGTTTAGAGGACTCCTTAGAACTCTATGTACGTTTCCTTTCAGCAAACCCAGTGTCCCTATCAAGGAGGAATTCGCAGCCTCCAAATTAGATTCCAACAAAACTGAGAGTCCTCCTACAACTTCCGATACCACCGTGACGGACAAAACAATCCGATGCATCTACGTTGGACGCCTGAGACCGGACGTCACGAAGGCCCATTTGATGGAGTATTTTTGCAAGTTTGGCAACATTCAACACGTCATTGTTATCCCACGTAATGGTTCGCAGACATCTCTTGGCTATGGATTCGTGTATTTTGCTGAACCGTGTGCCATTCAGATGGTTCTGGATTCCGGTCCGCATATAATTGGAGCATCAGATGTTCTGATTAGGCTCATAGACACGGACAAACTATACAAGGACAACGGCTTTCGAAGGTGAGCATAGGCAGTGAGTGTTTGATGATGGAGCCGCACGTATTTTAATACGCTAATACATCTCCTTAGAGAACGATATCTCAGTGATAGGGCGAACACACAATCCACAGATTAAAACCACTTGAGCTCACGTAAGTTTATCGAGTTTTGGTGTTGAGGCTACTATAGTTTAACCCTAACGGCTGCGATCCTTTAGGCCCGGTTCCTTAGGAGATGAGAGAGAAGTCTTGGGAAGGCCAGAGTAGT